GACATAGTGAGGCTTAGGGTCAATGTCATGGCTAGGGTGAGGGCAAGTTCAGAGTGTGTCAAGGTCAGTGTCAGGGTGAAGGTTAGGTCAAGTAGGTTCCAGGCCTATTCCATGAACAAGGTCGTCATGAGGGTCAGAATTAGAATCAAGGTAAGCGTGAGCAACAAGGAAAGGTCGAGTGGCAGGATCAGAGTCAGGGTCAGGATCAGGCTAGGGGACCTTCGGGCTCTGTCCTGTGTGACAGTGAGGATCAGGGTCTAACTCAGGCTTAGTGTCAGGGTCAGCTTGAGGGTCAGTGTCAGGTTTACAATCAATGTGAATGTGAATATCATGGTCATGTTGAGGGCCAGGGTCAGAGTCAGGCTTATAGTGAGCATTGGCCCAAGGGCAAATATAGAATGAAAGCGAGAGTTAGCAAAAGTGTGAGGCATAGGAAATTGTTAGCTCAGGGAAAGAGTGAGAGTGAGGGTCAGATTCAGGGTCACGGTGAGTGTGAATGTCAGAGGAGAGGTGAAGGTCATGGTGTCATGTGAAGGTCGGAGTCAGGTTAGGGTTCAGGTTCAGATTAAGTATCAAGGTCAGGATGAAGATACAGCCTAGGACAGGGGCAGAGTAAGAGTCATGTCTGGATCAATTTTAGGATGAAGGTCAGATCAGAGTCAGAATGAGGGTGAAGGTGAGTCTAAGCCTCAAGGGTAAAGGTCAGGGTCAGAGTCAGCATGCAGGCCAATGTGAACCGCAGCGTCTTGGTGAGGAACAGAGCTACCATTAGGGCCAGAGTGACATATTGATAGACATGATGAGGTTCAGGCTCAGTGTCAAGTTGAGTGTCAGGTTAAGTTTGAGGGGTCAACTTGACCGTGACTATGCTCAGAACCTTGATTATCATCCTATTCTGAAACCCCTGTGACCTTGACAGTGATCCTGAAGCTGACTCTGACTCAGAAAATACCCTTAGACTAACCCTAATCCTACACTTGACTCTGGACTTTTCCTGACCCTAACCTTCACTCTGACCTTTATCATGATGTTGGCTGAACTTGATCCTCAACCTGACACTGACACTGACCATTAAGCTGATGCTTTCTCTGACATATACACCCACCTTTATCATTATCTTTATGCTTATTCTGATGCTCTCTGTCCCTAATCCTGTCTATGACCATCATGTGACCTCAGCCCTTCCTCTGATCCTCATGCTGACTCTGAGCTGACTTTCACCCTGAATCTGACCCTGATTTTCTCTCTGAATTTTATTGTCAAATTCACCATTTTTATAACTGTGAGCCTTATCCTTACACATATACTGACTCAGGATCTCCTTCTTATCTCATGATAACATTATCCTGTGCCTGACTCTGACCTTGACCTTCAGACATGGAAACTCACCTACTTCTGGCCCCTAATTCTTAGTCTTTCCCTAATCCACACACTCAAGTTCACCCTGCATTCAACATTGCCACTCAACCTGCCCTCACATTGACCTTGACCCTTGCTTACTTAGCCTGACAATGATTTCAACCCTCATCCTTAACCGAACCCTGACCCTGACCCCAACCCTGATCTTCCCTAATCTTGATAGTGACCCTCACCTGATATTAATCTGACCCTGAAGCTGAGCCTGAGACTTACCTGATCTTACCTGATCCTTTCATTGTAACACTCCACTTGATGTTGATCCTTATACTGAATATTTAACCTTACTCTGAACTTCACCTTGACCCAACCTTGACACTCACACTTACCCTGACCTTATCCGTCATTACGTCCCTGATGCCTACCCTAATATGGACTCTGACACTGACCTTCACCCTGAATCTGACTGATATTCTTTTTGTACCTGAACTTACAGTGACCCTCACTATTACCGTAATGCCTAGACCCTGATCTAGAGCATTACTACCATGTTCATCCTGACCTTACACTTGACCTTACAACTCACCTGATCCTAACCCTCAGCCTCATCCAGACCCTATTCCATACCATTACTCTGACACCAACTGTTGCCCACACCTTCAATATTATACTGGCCACATCTACTTTGCATTTGACCCTGACCCTCATTGTTTCTGCGACCCCGTTGGATCATCCTAACATTCAATCTGACCTTCAATGTCAGCTTGACCCTTTACCTCACCTAGTCCTTGTCCCTGACCTTACCCCTATCTTCACCCTCACTTTCATGCTATCACTAACCCTGAAGCTGAACTTGACCCTGACACTAACAACTGTCATTACTTTCACCATGGAACACCCTGGCACAGACCCCTACCTTGACTCTTGCCTCGCTCTGTCTCTCACATTTATTTTGATCCTCTTTCCCTGAACCTATCACCATGATCTTGATTATTACCCTGAGCTGATGTGCCACTGACCCCAACCTAATCCTGATACTGACCCTGAACTCTGCCATGACCCCAGCCCTGACGCTGAGCATCACCATTACCAAATAACGTTAAAATGAAATGTATACATGCACTCTGGTTTTATCTCGATTCCTTGTCATCATAACAAGAAGGAACTTTTGAGAGCTATGAATAATTCTGAACTTGCTTACAGTTGAACTGTGTGTTTTCAAACATGCTGCTTTGACTTGAGTTAAAACAGTCTGCCTCAAAGTAAGAAAATGCAGTTAAGAAGAATGTGTGGTACTCATTGATTTACCTAGATAAAGCATGGGTCCAACCTATTAATTCTAAGTCACTAAAAATTGTCTTTAGAGACTAATGTCTGGTTCTGAGCTTGATTTCTTCTTTACTGCTTGTCTGTACACAGACCTACAAGTTTCAACTATATTTGCTTTACCTCTCAGTGAGAAGTCACCGTCAAGAAAAAAGTACAAATATACATTTTCACATATATAGCTTAGATTAGCCTTATCTTCTTCTAACTGACAGGAAGAAAAGGCAGTCGAGAGGAATACAAGTTTCCAAATTCTGGAGTTTTTTCTCTCTTAAAAATCATGTATATGTGTGTATGTGTGTGTGCATCTATCTATCCATCTATCTATCTATATAGATAGATATATTTCTGAGTTTAGGTTGGCAAACAGAAGTAATGTTGAAAAAAATTAATATTGGGGCAAACCAGCTCAGCCTTACACATTCCTCTCAAATGAAACTTCTTATTGCTTTTTGGAGTAAACTGAGATAAACGTAAGGATGCCAAAACATACTCATTTCAAAGGCACAATCTTACTAAAATAAAAAAATGTACAAAAGATCACATATAAGCCATATTTTAATTAACCCTTATTTCTTAAAATATCAATGAATTAACAAAATACACCTTTGGATGATAATACATATATATTTGTATTTGCCTTCTCAAAACTTTTAATTAAGATAATGCTTATAAAAAATGACCCAGATGGTTTTTAACTCTCTGTCCTCTAGGTGTCACTTATGTCTACAGAAAATGAAAGAAAAGGCTGATTAATTCAAGACAATAATTAATGTAAATAGTTGATTATATTGGGTATAAGAATTACAGAGAGTGTTTCTAATTGATTTCCTATTAGTTTATTTTTAAAAGTTTTTGCAGTTCATTCATATAATTATAATTTAATTTGATATAGATTGTTTTATTTAATACACTGATTAATTATATTTTAAGCCTATAGTTAAACACTTTATTATTTAATTGTGTGTTGTATATATCCACAAAATTAGCCAATCTAGAATTAGCTCCACTTTCTTTTTTTCTTTTATTCTTTTTATTTTATTTTTTTTTGAGACAAAGTCTTGCTCTGTTGCCAGGCTAGAGTGCAGTGGCGTGATCTTGGCTCACTGCAAACTCTGCCTCCCGGGTTCAAGTGATTCTCCTGCCTCAGCCTCCCAGGTAGCTGAGATTACAGGAGTTGCGATTACCAAGCCCAGTTAATTTTTTTTTTTTTTTTTTGTACTTTTAGTAGAGACAAGGTTTCACCAGTTTGGCTAGGATGGTCTCGATCTCGTGACCTCATGATCTACCTGCCTCGGCCTCCAAAAGTGCTGGGATTATAGGCATGAACCACCTCGCCCACCTAGCCCCTACTTTCTAACAATGTCCAATATAGAGCAAACCCCTCACTTCCCTAGACCTTACCCCAAATCGCCCAACAAAAGATCAAATTCTGTAACAACTGCTTTCTGACACCTTCTTACTGCTACACCCTGCAGTTCCCAGTGGTGTGCATTCTACCTCAATGCAACCCATCATGAGCCCAGTTTATTCATCTAAGGTATGTGCCTGGGGGTCTTGGACACAAGGACACTGACAAGCTGAACGCATAGATAGGCACAGAAGCTGTGAAGTCAGCGTGACCAGGGCTGTATCCCTTGTTTTTGCCGTTTCAAAATTTAAAATACTAGGAGATAAATTCTTATGAACAAATAAGTTGGATGGTTTTAAACTTTCTGTCTCCTGGGTGTTCCTTATGTCTAGAGAGAGAGAGAAAAAAAAAAAAACAGACTGATTACTTAATTAAAGGTAGTAATTAATGTAGATGTTGATTAAACTGAGTAGAAAAATTGCAAAAAGAAGTCTATGCAGAGGATAAATGTATTTTAAATAGAAACCTGTTTTTATGTTTGTACATGTGTGCATGCCTAAATTCGTACAAGTAAATGTATATCAAGTTCCTACACTTGATCTTAGCCAAAGATGGAGAAGCAATATCGATAGTTCTTTTACTAGAATTTGTTATATAAATAATATGCCAAATGAATAAATTAGAATTTAGAACTTTCATGTAAATTTACTAAATATTTCTATGCCCAGATCAATAGAGGCTCCTTTTGTCACCAAATTATTCTGTTAATTCTCAAAGCTTTTTGCAAACTCTTCAACCATTCTTTTGAAACTCCTTTGGATAGTGTTGACCTAATTTTATATGCTCATATTTTACAATGCCGGCACCTACTTTAATCCATCCCTAAAATACGGACCACACAGCCAGCAGATGGAGACGCTGAGCGCGTGCGCTCCTTGCTCTGCAGCACCATCCCTCAGCCAGACGCGCGCCCTAGGGCCTGCCCAGCGCAAGCGCACTTGCTTGAAGAAACAGGTGGTGAGAATCTGGTTTTTAGCTCAGCCTCCAACCCTGCCTCCTGTGTTGTTCCTCCTACTGAGGAAAGAAGAGGGTGCAAGCCATCTCCCCGTTAATCCCGAATCCTTGTCAGGCAGCTGCAGCAGGCGCTCCCGCGGCTGCCGATGGCTCCCTACCACTGGCTTCTGGAGAACAGCAATTTAGCAGCCTTTGCACCCGGAATAGTCTGTGCATGCTCAATAGTTGGGCAGGGGGCTTTTCCCAAAGGTCATCACACGACAGGGTCAAAGGGATTACAGCGGGCGTTTCATAGCAACGGTGAGTCCTGCCCACTGCAGGTTCTGGGTAGGGGGTATGGGGCGGAGGCTACTCCCTGCGAACTTTGCCAAGAGTGGCAGTACCGCATAATAGCGAGCATGCGTTGGGGACCAGTGGAAGGATGACTTATGCCAAAAGAACTCAATTGCAGCATTCTTGGTGCATTAAACTTGCAATCCGTGACTGGGTCACTGGTAAAGGAGGTGGGATTAGGGTGGGCAGAGAGCTCTGTTGCACTTTCCTCCCTTCCCCACCAAGGGGAGGAGTGGGTGAGTGGCAGGGTGGGGTTCCAAGGTAGACCACAGGGTCCAAATTTCCTTTAAGAAAGTTTTCAGCCGGGCGAGGTGGCTCACGCCTGTAATCCCCACACTTTGGGAGGCGAGGCGGGCGGATCACCTGAGATCAGGATGTCGAGACCAGCCTGACCAACAGGGAGAAACCCCGTCACTACGAAAAGTACAAAATTAGCTGGGCGTGTTGGCTCATGCCTGTAATCCCAACTACTCTGGAGGCTGAGGCAGGAGAATGGCTGGAACCTGGGAGGCAGAGGTTGAGGTGAGCCAAGATGGTGCCATTGCACTCCAGCCTGGGCAATAAAAGTGCAAGTGGGAGGGAGGGAAGGAAGGAAGGAAGGAAGGAAGGAAGGAAGGAA